GAGCAAGGCAGAGTGAGAAGAGACGTACAGTAACAGACAGACTGACAGGCTCCTTTGGTTGCTGAATTGAGTGGAAATGCATTTTCCCTGGTAATTGCTGGATATCTGAGTATCTCATCTAACATGAAGGTAAGACAATTGCTTACTTAATTTGTTCTGATGAAGTGAATATGACAAGTGCAATGAAATATTAATTTATATGGAGAAATACTTAGCTGAAAATGTAATTGAGCAATATAGCAAGAAAGAAGAAAACTAAAAAACCAACAGCTTACACAACAAAGCTGAGGACAATCAGTGTGACGCTCTCCTTCATTTCTTAAGCTAACTAGTATAAACATTGCAGAAAGTTTGAACAGCTGCATGAGCTAACAGAAAAAAAGCAGGAAAGCAATGTAAGTTTGCTTTTGCTCCTCTTTTTTTCAGGTGCTGGGGATTTTTCTGTTGCTGGAAGTTTCAGGCTTCTTCTCCATTTTTTCCAGGTGAATATTTCTTTAGCAGATTACATGCTGAAGACTAAGCGTGTATAATTTAACAGACAGCTTCTGGCTGATGACGTGACTCAGGGCTTAAAGGGGTCTTCAGATATATTTCCTGGGAGAGGAGACACTGTTTGTTGTCAACGCTGCCACTGCCATCAGTGGTGGCAAGAGTGAGGAATTGTGGTGTCCCTTATCTCTGCTCAGAGGATTCAGCCGCCCTTTGGGATGAGAGCACATAGTGGTGGTGTGAGCCACAGCAATGCATGTCTGCAAAACACAGCGCAGCTGACCCCAATCCATCCCCGATCTTGGGGGCAGGTTGCACCCTTAGTGCCTCCCATTCGCAGACTGGGTATCTGAGAGCTACCGCAGGAAGGTCTGCAGCACAGCAGGGCACACACAGCCCCTGGCAGCTCCCAGACGATCTTCCAGACGTGGTCTGGTCTCTCTCTGTTTTGCAATGTGAAGCTGGTCTTTGAAGCTGGTAGATGGTTGCAGAAAATCCTTGCTGATCATCAGGCTAGGTGAATGTGTCTAGTTTCTTCTTTTCAGTGACCAGAAAGTGCAAGCTGAGACTGATTTCATTCTTACACATGAGAAGCAAATTCACATGGTTTTGGAGGGAGCCTGATTGTACCCCCTAATTGTTATTGAAAGCCTGCTTTGCTGTTTAGGAAAGTTTTGCACTAATATTTATGGATGGAAATTCCTCATGCTTTTTATATTTTTTTAATTTTTCCCCAAATGCAAAAAATACCGCCAGAGCAGCCCTTCTCCTCCAGTCCATTGCCGCTGGAATTCCTTTGGCCCTTGGTCCGAGTGTGATGGCTGTACTCAAAAACAGGTAGACAGGCACACTTTTTCTGTACTAATGACTTCACAAGCGTATGCTGTTTTCCCAGTAATTAAGGATCCACTATATTTTGTAAACCCCAAATCAAGTGTCAGACAAAAGCCCCAGCAGAAGAAGGATGAATAACAAAGAACTCAGAATGGAAATCCTCCAGTCTGTCTCCTCTGTGTTTCCTTTCAAAACTATGATATTCCTGTTGTAGAAGAATTGGTGCGCTTTTTATTTTGGTGATAGTTCTAAAAAGCTCAGCTGAACTGTTCAGTAAACTGAGACATTCCTCCAATGATGCTGGCTTGTACCAATTCCATTGATGTTTCATTAGAGGAGTCATGTCTCAAGGCAAGAAAACTTGTTTGGAAAGTATTATCGTCAATTAAAACAAATTGATGATTTTTACAGTGCAGCTCTATTGATGTGCAAGACACTTGCTTTTGATTTTCCTTCTCATTTACTTTGATGTTACATCAAGTAGGGAAGGATTAGTCCAAATTAAATGTGTGCCATGAGATAGTCCTTATTCTTTTTAGAAGCAAAAATTAGTCTATTTGATGTTAGATTTTATAATCTTCCTCAATTACATCATTTGCTTTAAAGAACTGTAGCAAATTCCTATCAGGCATGACAGATCCTATTAAAAACGTAAAACAAAACTGAAATTTATTATCAGCTTTCTCTTGGTTTCAGTTACATTTTAGATTTTTGAACAAACCAGCCAAGGTTATGGATTGGTCTAAAGACCTTACAGAAAAAATAGTTGTCTTTGTATTAACTGGGAAGTTTGTTACCATGTTGTGGTAATGTCGAGTGTTGTTCTCAGAACCAATAGTGAATGTCTCATTTCCTTACAGCAGTAGGATGTCTTGACACTAGTACACTATTCCTGCTTTGCATTTGTATTTTCTAACATCTTCCTTGATTTGCATTCAGATTCGGAGACGGACAGTAGCGGTTTATGGCCAGTATGGGGGAAACCCCTGCTTTGGGGATGCCTTTGAAACAAGACTGTGCACCTCCACAAGAGGATGCCCAACAGAGGATGGCTGTGGTGATCGGTTCAGGTGTTTCTCAGGTACCATCCAAGATCTCTTTCACCATTTTCTGGCTATAAACTTAAGAAGATAAGCTTGTTATCTTTGAACTTCAGTAAATGGACAATGACTTTGCAGAAGCCTTGCTTACAGATAAATTTGGTTTGGCAGGATGTTTCCTTTTTTTTTCAGCCTCGACTATACGTGTTTTTAATTTCATCTGGAGTGTTGCAAAGCTTTGCAGATAATATGCTGTAGCCCTGGTAGCCTCTCTAAGTCATTCTGCCTTATTAATTTCTCCCAGAACACTTTTTTGTTGTTGTTGTTATGAGAAGGTAATTAAGGAATGTGACCTTAGATGTGGTTGTATGAAGCTGTTCTAGGCTATATCCAAACATCTTGGAAATTCCCCGAGTCACGGAAACTAACGGTCCCTAAACCAGTCCCCACATCCAAGCAGCTTCCATTACCTTCACAAAAAAGGCACATTATCTCAGTAGGCAGACGTCACAGAGGAACATGATAAACATGTTTTGGTGCTGCCAGAGATATAATCACAGTTAATCACAAATGATAGGGTCAAAAGATGAAAGCTCAGGAAATAAATCCAGAAGTCGACTGTTTTATTAATATATAATAATCCTTGAATGGCTGTGGTTCCCTCAAGTGTACTGTGCACTATTTCTTTATGTCTACGTTTACCCTTGTTTTACAAGCCCTCCTGGGCACAGACTGTTCACTGGGAGAGTGAATGAGCTAATTAATGTAGTAGATAAGTGGGACACTCACTTTGATTTTAGGTGATTTATTTTTAAATGGAAAAACACTTCTTTCCCCATGAATTTTTGTTCTGATTTAGGTCAGTGCATTAGCAGATCTCTTGTGTGCAATGGAGATCAGGATTGTGAGGAAGATGGTGCAGATGAAGATCAATGTGAAGAGAAGAGGACTGTATGTCATATTGATAAAACACCTCCAAATTCAGAACTTACAGGAACAGGGTAGGGTTCTGTGCTGGGCTCAGCTCTGTACTGGTGCCAAATGCATTTTCATTTTTGTTGTATTTATAAGCTCTGGCTGTACAGATAGGCTTCCTGGGCCTATGGTGAAACGTCCCATACGCAGAAGTGTATCATTCTCTTAAGTGTCTTTAGTCTACTTTTATCACTTGGTATGTGATATAATTCAGATATAATACAAAAAAACATTTTGCAATGGATACCCTTTTTCTTCTGTGTTGCATTAATTGCTGGAACAATGAAACTTAATAAAATCAGTTGTGATATATATGAATGTCTTAATGTTAAGAGATATTGATACGTGTTCATTCTTGTTGACAAATTGAGAACAACATTTTGCCTATACACACTGCAGTTCTGCAAATGAAGAAGTCTGTCAGTTGATATCCCCTTTTCTTGGGCAAATCAGTTTATGATCTTAACCTGCAGATACACCATTCAGTTGTAATGGCCCTGTAACATTTTCCTTCTGTAAAATAATTTGCTACATCTCTATCTTAATGATCTTTAATGTTTTTCTTCTGGTAGCTTTGATGCCATCACTGGTGAGACTCGGGGAAGAGTCATTCATACAAAAAGTTTTGGAGGACAATGCAGAAAAGTCTTTAGTGGTGATGAGAGGGAATACTACAGGCTGAGTGAAAGCGTTCTTGCTTATACTTTCCAGGTATGTTTCCATTAAGCACAGCTTTATATTTAGAGTCATGATTAAGACCAGGAGAATGATGTAAGGTCTCTTGGCAGGTCAGTTTCTCTAAACACAGCTGAATGACACATGTTCCCTCTCTGTAATCACTTACTATTTTGAAATAGAAACTAGTGTATATCTTGCTGAAATGAAAGGAAAAAACCCATAAATCCTGGGATGCGATTTCTGTTTCTCACACAGTTAGACTGAATGTAAAGCCATCTCCTTAGCTTAAGCAGTGGCCTGAATCACCCTAAGAAATGTTAAGTGCACAAGACTTTGGGGTGCTTTGTGGAGATCTTCCAGAGTTAAGACACTATCACTTGTTTGAAGTCACTGTCTCAGAGATTTGGCTTGTCTCACATTTATCAAAAAAACATGCCAAGCAATCCTTAATGTACTTCATAATGTAAATGCTTCACATACAAATATATAAATATATATATATATGTGATGCTTTTCCAGTGGTGTTCAGTGCTTTTTACGGAATCTGAAATGGATTCAACCTGAAAAACACATTGGCTTTTTGGCATCAGAAAGGACTTGCTCTACTCTAGGAGTTATCATTTTTAACATGCTTTAAGTTATCATTTTTAACATTAAGCTCTTTATACAGAATGCTGTCTTTCATCTTGTAGGTTAAAATTCAGAATGATTTCAGCTATGAGTTTTTCAACAGCAGCTGGTCTTACATGAAACACACAGAGAGGTATGAGAAATCAAACAGTGGACACAGTTATTCACAGAATAAAATTCTGCAACACAGCCAAAAGGTATGTATAAGTTTTCTCTGTGGTTTAGTATTTTGCATAAACATTTTCATAATTTTTTTCATGTGCTTTTTTAGTGAGATGCAAATATTTATTATATCCAGATATTTTTGGCACAAAGTGCATGACAGAAAAAAATCCCATAAAATCTTTACAAACAGATCACTGGTTTGGTTATCAATCAAGAAGGGTTGGCTGCTCTTTTTACTTTCACCATTTTACCTCTTTATTAGTAATTTATTTATTTACTAACTGTTTTGCTCCTTATCTGAAGAAGAAAAACATTGTATTTTTCTCATAATTGATTAATCATTTCCATTTTCTTCTAATGATTTACTGCACCACTTCC